GTGTGTGTGTGTGTGTGTGTGTGTATGTGAGTGTTTTCTGCATTGGGGATATTCTGTAGTCTCATTTGGGTATAAATCTTTACTGGATTGTGTCAGATTTTGTATATATATATAAAAAAAATCAAATATAATAAAAAACGCAGTTTTCTCGTAAATTCCATTAATTCCTATGCGGGTCAAAATTGAATTGTTACTTTTTTAATAACACCCATTTTAACTCCTCGAATCCACTAAATTTTTTGTGTGTATTGCCGGTGCAAGTGTGACAAAAATAAATAAATCTTGGACCGTAACGATCAACACATGATTTTTAGAATTAAAAAAAAAAAATCAGTTTCATGTCAAAATGATCTGAGGGACTCATAAGGGTTAAGTAATTAAGGATTCATCCACAACTAAGTGTGCAATAAACTATTTTATTGTACGACGTGGAATACACAAAACAGGCCTTCTGAGGCTATATCAGCATTGAAAATTAAAGCTACGTTTTTTTTGTTTTTTGAACTTCAAATTTTGATTGGAAGGATAATAATAACAGTTCATTTAAATCATTTATATCTACAGGTCATTACATCCTAAATCAGATGAAGATGGAAGCACTGGATGCTGATGTGAAAAAATTGAAAAGGACCTTAAGATATATGTTTCAGACAGTTTTGAGCTGCACATGATGTATTTACATTCATTTGAAATAGACCCATGACATCCTATGACTTATGACTCATATCAATTTAATTGTTGAATATAAGCCACATATTTTTTCTCCACATTAAGGATAACAATCTTACTTTTAAATCACACATCAAGAAGGTTTGCAATCATATTAAGTTCAACTTGGCAAATTTTAGATATGCCCATAGCTGCATGTCAATTAAGGCTGCGAACATACTTATGTATTCAATGATCTTCTCACATATCACCTATTGACTGACAACCTGGTCACAAGAAAGTAATTCAGTCTTTATAAACAAACCTTGAAACTTTTAGATAGGAAATCCATACACAATCACCATTGTTATATTTAAAAATAAAAAAAGCATGGTATGCAGCATCAGACCAACTCTAGGAATGAGTCATTAAAACCATTTTAAGATGATTTTAGTCAAAATGACTGAAAAATCATAAATACAACCACTAGTAATATGATTTATTGGCTTATCACTTTTGACCAATAGGTGGCGCTGTTATCAAATATATATGTTGTGTTCTGTGTGAGGTGACAATGGCACACACAAAGTTTGGTGTCAATATGTCCAAGCTTTGCAGAGATACAGCCTCAGAGTCATTTTGGCATCATGCCTCAACTTTGTAGCAGTGCTATACAAAAACGGTTTTGTCTATTGACACAAAATCCATCACTTTATGCCAGCATGGTCTGAAGATGATCTGAGTCAAATCTGGTGAAAATCGGACCAACAGGCTAGGAGGAGTTCGAAAAAGTATGTTTTCAACATAAATCAAAATGGCAAACAGGGAGTTCTGCCAACTATGGTGACATATCTATGATGTCAGCATGACCCAAGGAATGTTTTTAGACCAGTTTCATTACAAATACGCTAATGCAATCAAAAAGTTATTAGCATTTTTGGAAATGTCATAATTAATGGTTAATTAATGGTTTATCACTCTTCACAAATAGGTGGTGCTGTTACCAGATTGATGTGGCATGGTCAGTGTGAGGTGACAATGGCATATACAAAGTTTACTGTAAATATGTGAAAGCTTTGGAGAGATACAGCCTCAAATGCAGTTTGACATCTTTCCAGCAAATTCGTGAATGCGCTAAACAATTACCGTTTCGTATATATTGACACGAAATCCATAACTTTTTGCCAGCTTGGTCTGAAGATGATCCGAGTCAAATTTGGTGAAAATCGGACTAACGGTCTAGGAGGAGTTCGAAAAAGTAAGTTTTCAACATGAACCAAAATGGCGGACAGGAAATTCATCTATAATTGGTATAGATGTTCTCAGCATGATCCAAGAAATCTATCAAAACCAGTTTCATTACAATAGGCTAATGTAAACAAAAGTTATTAGCATTTTTAGAAATGTCATTACTGCCTCCAAACCTTTTGAGTACCATCAGGGCATGGTGCCGAAGACACATACCGAGTTTCGTAATGATACGCCAAAGCGTTCGTAAAATATAGCATTTTACTACAAAATTCAAAATGGCCGACGCCCAAATTGGCTGGCATGGTAAAATTGGTTGGACTCGGCATGCTACACCGAATCTAAAGAGACCAGTTTTGGGATTTTTGGTCAAACCATTCAGAAGTTATAAGCAAAAATATGCATTTTTCATATCTCCTGACCACTAGGTGGCACTGCACCGAAACACTGCAGGTAGTCTCAGGTCTTGCTTGTAAAACACACCAAGTTTGGTCTCAATATGCCAAACCGTTGCGGAGATATAGCCTCACATCCATTTTTGCGTGCTTTTCGTAGAATTCGTTCGCGTGTTATTCGAGAACGGTTGGACGAATAAACTTGAATTCCATAACTTTTTGCCAGCATGGTCTGAAGATGATCTGAGCCAATTTTGGTGAAAATCAGACAAACCGTCTAGGACGAGTTCGAAAAAGTAGGTTTTACGAACAATTACAAATAGCAAAAAAACTAAACCTTACGATTTTTGAATTTTGTTAAATTCAGTGTTCATTTAACTTGGTATGACCCAAGGAATCAAAGGAAAAAAAGAATTTTCCTTCTGTGCCTTACGGTTCAAAAGTTATTAGCATAAACATGAGTGAAATTTTGGTCAAGTGGTGGCACTAGAGAGTTTGAGTTAGAGACTCCAAACTTGCTATGGTTAATGTTGAGACTGTCCTCTATCAATGTGCCAAATTTCACAACTTTCCCGCAAGTGGTTCTATGGGCTGCCATAGCCGCAATCGCGGAAGAAACGGAAGAATAATAATAACGCCAACGGAGACAATAGGTGCCATCGCACCTTCGGTGCTTGGCCCCTAATAATAAAAATAAGAGCAAACATTTTGGTCATAACATGGTCGGCGGCCCTTGGCTTGGTATTGTTGCCAGAATTTGGCCCTCGGTGAAGACTAATTGAGGAACCCTGCTCTATAACATCTCAATGTTACTGATTCATCATACAGCTCAAAGCATTAAGAGTAGAATCTCTCGTCATTCTATTCTGATTCATCAACACAGTTTCACTGATGATTCATTATTAACCCAAACCCCAGGATAGAGCGGCTGAGTGAATGTGGTCTGGACTGTGTGGATGAGGCTCATTATGTCAGAGACGCTGTAGAAGGACAGAGTTCCTGCACTGTGATCCACAAACACTCCTATTCTACTGCTGATGGGTGTCACAGGGAGAACAGTCTCTATTTTGTTGTGTCTGAATGAGTATCTGGAGGGAGAGCAGAACAAAATCCAGGACTGATCATTAAATCCAAACACACACTCAACATCTCCCTTCCTGCTTCTCTACACAACACCTGAGGATACACATCAAATCTGTCTGGATGATCAGGATACAACTGGACTGTTTTAGTGGCAGTAATTATTCTGTTGCTCTCAGACAGATGGAGGTATTTATTCACTGTGTTCAGATCCAGAGTGAGCTGATGGGAATCTGATGGAGATAAAACACATCAGAATCAGGATTTATGAATCTGTATGATTATTTAATGTAGCTGAACTCTACAGGAAGAACATGAACACACTCAGTGTGTTTTTCTGCTTGTTTTCTTACTGACTTACATCATATGAGATGATGATGGACTCGTTTCTGAGAGCAGATGAATCTCCAGGACTTTACCTCTGTCTGAGATCTTCTTGAGCTCCTCTTTGCAGAAATCCTCCAGTTTGTCTCTCAGCTGATGGACAGATTCTCTCAGACCATCAGAAGAGAATACAGAAATGAAGGGATCGTCATTTCCATCTGTAGATTCAGGAGGTGCTGAAAGAGACTGGAAACTCTACAGAAAACAGAAATCAAAACTCATCAGCTCCACACTTCACCCAATAACATGCACCAACATCAGATTTGTGCGGCTCGTTGACTTGACTGATCTTTAGTAACTCACCTCAATCCAGCACTTTCACAGCATCAGCTTCATTCTTCTTATATTCATTATATCAGATTAGAGCTACAGATTCTAGTATTTGCCACTTACACTATATGAGAACTTTCTAGGAAATTGTTTGGATGATAAAACATCTGCTAAGAACATAAATGTCCATCTAAACCAGGGGTAGGCAAGTTCGGTCCTAGAGAGCCGCAGTCCTGCAGAGTTCAGCTCCAACCCTAATCAGACACACCTGAACAAGCTAATCAATGTCTTCAGGATTACTAAGGCTATAGGCAGGTGAGTTTTGTTTTCAGGGTTGGAGTTGAACTCTGCAGGACTGCGGCTCTCTAGGACCGAACTAGCCTACCCCTGATCTAAACGCTCAAGCACATCAATGGAGTCTAATTGTAGAGTTGAGTAGATTTGCACAGGAAAAGCAGCTCAAAGGCTACGATTATAGTAGTCAACATTTGAAGTGGATCAAATCCTTTCATCAAAGTTGTCGTAAAACCTAAATCCAAAATGCTTTTTTGTCTTAGGACAACTTTGATGAATTTTTTTGATCCACTTCAACTTTACTGACTACTGTAGTTTGACAATCATTTATAACTTCACAATGACCCTTAAGACACACTCAGGTTTGGTTTGGTTTCGATAGACTGAAGCATTGCTAATATACAGACTCAATTCATGTTTGGGGTCTTCATGATCATCAATGTGTTACAGGCTAATAAAAATTAGTTTTATCAGGTTTGAGGATTACCTGATTCAATTTTGATGAACTTTACTCAGAATCTGTACTATCGAGTTCACTGATTTCACCATGATGTAATAAATCAGAATGAAAAATGAGGTAGATGCTGAAATGAAAAGTTTTGAACTGTTGGTGGCGCTAGTGGTGTTTGACAGCTAAATATATCTTCCAGAAGAAAGAGCTGAGAGAAAGGAAAAGAGATTTCCAGAGCTGAAAGCCATTTGTAAGCGGCGTCTCTTTCAAATGAAGATGATCAGATGAGAGTCTGACTGATGATTATATAATAAGACACTCATGAAATGTTTCTCTGTGAGTCTCTGTCACAGCAGGATCTGCTCAAGTCCACTATGATCCTGTTCTTCTAGATCTCTGTTACCTGCAGGAACTGGATGTGATCCTGTGTGTGTGAAAGCTGCTCCAGCTCAGCGTCTCTCCTCCTCAGATCATTGATCTCCTGCTCCAGTCGCTCCAGTCGTCCTTCAGCTCGACTCACTGCAGTCTTTTCCTGATCTCTGATCAGCCGTATCAGCTCAGAGTGGCTTCTCATAATGGAACGGATGAGCTCAGAAAAGATCCTCTCACTGTCCTCCACTGCTGTCTGTGCAGAGCGCTGTTAGGACACACAGTGATTCAGGCTTCAGTGAGTCTGAACTGAGACTGAGACAAACTTCTCTTCTTCTCCAGACTCACCTTATGAGACTCCACAGCCTCTCTCAGCTGCTGAAGATCTTTCTCTCTCTGCTGGATTCTCTGCTGGAACGTCTTCTGTGTCTCCTTCAGTTGGTGCTGGAGGACAAACAGAAGATTGTAAATGTCTCAGAAGTGAAATTATCTCCCCATGAAATCAAAGTCCAGGAACTCTCAAAAAACAGATGCCATGCAACATAAAACTAATCTGGAGAAGAAATCTACAAAGACAGCAAATGACACCGCCTTGCCCAAACCTCTCTCCTTGCTAATTTATGACCCCTTTCTCCCCTCTCCCTCTACCTCTCCCCCACCAGGCTTCACTGAAAGTTCACTAAGAATATCTACAGTATATACCACATATGATGAATCTTGTGAATCTGTTGTTTTCCCCCTTCATGTTTAGTATCATTCTAAAGTTCTCTGTGTGATTGGTAAAATGGTCTCAATTTCACAGTAGTCACTTATATTATGAGAAAATTGAACACTTTCGAAGAATTGTATTCTGCTGCTGAGGGGTGTGTCTCCATTAGTGTGGGGTGAGAATGTTTTCCTTTCTCCAACCCTAGGGTCATGAGATCCTAACAAACCAAAAAGTCTTTTATGTTTCCGATTTGAAGATTTCTTTGTTCTGGTCTGGATATAAAAGTGAAGCGGCATTATAGTTATTGGGGATTCTGTAACCAGTGCTGCGTTTCCCGATAATGTTGTCCCTTAGCTCGCTACGAAGACTCTAAAGGTATATCTTAACTAAAGGTATACCTGTTCTAGGCGTGTTCCCCACACTATACCTTAGGATGTTGCTTAAGGTAAACCTTCTTA